GTCACTCAAAAACTGTTCACTCTGTGTATCCATGTAATGGAAGAGTTCTTCCCATCTCTACTGAAACTCTTATAACCAGATATGCACATGCAGCTTTACTAATGAAGATAAAATTGCAACAGGCTATGTAAGACATTTGAGTGTAGGTGGAAATCTTTAATCTTAAGAAATACATTAAATCAAAATGAGGATTATTTTCCTCATTATTTATTCCAACTGCCTAAGCTGCAAAAGACATATTAAACTAAATATCAGTCCTCCAGTAGTAGTCTGTTGACTCCACTTGCACTGTTTGCTTTAAAACCTTACTTCCCCTAATAGCCTTCTCTTGCATCTACAATTTCATTCAGACTTCTAAATCCTTTGCATTTTCTATTCCTCTTGGAGGACAATTATTCTTCTAGACCAACCACAAAATCACAGGGACTAGCATTCAAATATCTTTGGTATTAAGAATAAGATCTTACATGTTGCCTCTCATCTACATTCCACCAATTTCTTCTGATCCTCAGTGTAAATTAATAACTTATTTCAGTTTTGGTAAGTTTTCTGTTTGATTGTTGATTAAGTTTGGTAGTATACTTTTTGATAAGTATCACAATGATGCAAAAAGTAAAGTCTAAATACTAAAGATTTAACAAGACATGAAAGTGAAAATGTATCAAAATAAATCTGATGGTATCATTCAGAAAGTAGTGTCATTTTACAGAGAGGAAGTGGAACTTAACCATGTTTTCTCCCTTTTTCTTCTAAAAGAAGCTTGTGTGAAATCACACTGCAATGCGGCTATACCTTTTCAGACTGAAAATACAGAAGGGAAGAAAGGCCTGACCAAAGCTATTTTCAAAAGTAGCTTCTAAATACCTAACTTGGAAGAGGTTCTTCTCTGAATTGCCTATACCCTACTGCAGCCAGGAAAGAAGCAGAGATATTGGGTATTCTTGCTTCTGAGATGTGATCCTCCTGGAAGTGAAGTACTGCTCCCATCTTGAGAGCAAACAGAATGCTTCTGTTCAGTCACAGACAATACAGTAGTAACAAATGCAAGGGAGTAAGATCAGGGCAATTCTGATCATCTCAAAACAATGGCTTATAGATAAGGACATTCAGTTAAACCAAATCTAACAAGTCTGCACTAGCAGCAGCAACAGTTATAACCCTTAGATCTGCAATCCTATGACCATCTCTGGATTAAATGATACAAGCAAACCACTGATCCTTTTTTCCTCTTTGTACTGCCATTTAGGGTGAACTTTGACTGAAACCTTTGCCATTTGAAAATGATCCTACCACAATAAACCAAATGGAAATATTACTGCAGTTTCCTTCAAAATCTAACCATCTGTTCCTTTTGCTTTCATAGCAAACCTCTTGACATACCTGGGCTCCTAGATTCGGTAGCTCCTGTTGCAGTCAATAACCACATCCAGAGAAATGAGTGTTACAGCTTCTGTCCTACTAGGCATTTTGGTGTATGCAGCAGCTCCCACTCCGCTCTTTAAACTTTCCACTGTGAATCACCTGATTAGCTGCTGCACTTAACTTCCTGAGGAAAGCAGAAGTGAAAAGCAAATGAACCACAGCTCAGGACTTATCAAGCTCCCAAAGGAAGTTAGAACAGCTCAGCTAATGCACAAACCTGGTAGGCATAGCATGCTTCTCCCTGGGTCAGGAGTAACCAGGTAGTTCTCACCTATACCATATTTACAAAGAGGCAGGTAGAGTGTGGGGATGTTGTTTCATTTTGGTTTTAAGTTTCAGGTTTACCAAACAGCTACAAGAATGAAGCACCGCAAAGCTCATGCTCTCTGTGCAACAACTTGTGCCCAAAGGACACTTTCTACTAAAATGGTCAAGACAGCTACTCAGATCAAGAAGGAAACAAGCACTATAAGCTCACTGACAACATAAATGAACATAGATTAGCTATGGGCTTGGGGGAAGATTACTTCACAGTTGTCTAGTTGCTTTTTATTCTCCCTAATGGCACATCTGAAAGACTTTATTTTCTAAGGGGAAGTGGAGTTTAAACATTTTCACACAGGAAATTCAAGTGTTTTCAACTGCTTCTCCCCAACAATTTTATGGTGACCTTGAGAATCAGTGGGATCATGGCCTTACAGTGACTGAAACCTGAGGGGATTTTACCCCACGTGATTAAAGCGATCTGTTTTCTGTTAACATCTACTTCACTAAATGCCTGAAAAAGTGTTCAGGAGGAAAACTAACTTTCTCTTTCATCTAAACTGCAATTTAGCTGCATAAGGTGCAGTTAAAGGAGACTGAAGACTCCTGATGTTTCTGAAGGTAGGAGCAGCAAGTCTTGAGGGGTCTTATTTCACTGTTTGATAGGGTTAAGTAATATGACAGGACAACAATTGCCTATATATCAGGGACCTCTCCTGATGCAGTATTGTTCCTGGCACAGAACAATCCCAGAGAACTATCCTTTTCAGTGGAAATGTATTTATTGAAATTATTGCTACAAAATGTGGAATATGTAAATATATTCTTTAGAAAGGATGGTCTTTGATGTTCAATCTTTGTATACTTTCAGGCCTAATCAGCAAGAAGGGAGATTTAATCTGTGAAACAGAGAGCAGCTAACAAGCTCTAAGTGATGTCCAGGTGTTAGA